CTACCACACCCAGCTAACTTTTGTATTTTTAGTAGAGACAGAGTTTCACCATGTTGGCCAGGCTGGTCTCGAATTCCTAACCTTAGGTGATCCACCCACCTCAGCCTCCCAAAGTGCTGGGATTACAGGCATGAGCCACCATGCCTGGCCTGGACATTTTTTAATTAGGGAAATTGGCAATTGATTCTTTTTCTACAGTTTTCTTTGGGAAGGTTTTTTTTTTTTTTTGGTGGTTGTTGATCAAAAGCTTTTCCCCCCTCATTATTGTCCAAGCACATAAATGTCCACCTAAAACTTTTATTTTTGTGGGTAGAATAGCTCAGTCTTTATACTAGTATTATAAAATTCTCGTTTTAATAATTCAAAGTTATGGGGTCTATGCAGACTTTCTTATGAGAAACACACACAGAAATCCAGTGTTTTACAAAATGATTTATATTTCATTCATGTTTCAATTCTATTTTTGGTGAAGCTTGATCGTTAGCAGACACAAATGGTACCTTGAAGCCTTGGTCAGTAGGCGATATATCATCACTTACAGCACTAGAATCTCATCTTTTGAAAACTGGGTTTAAAAAAAAAAGAAATATGCAAGACAACCCCAATTCCTATCTTTTCAGAGATTGCCAAGTAAATGTGAACCCCCTGAGTTTGCTGAGACTCTGATCTCCAGTGTGCACTCAGGTTACCTGCCCTTCAGATTCTAGTTATGGCCTTCAGAGGCTCTGCCGAGGCACTGCAAGGATGACGTTCTTTGTCACAAGCTCACTGTGCGGTTATTTCATGCAGCCAGGCAATAGGAATATCAAATGCACCTTCAGACTTTTGGCTTTGTGGCTTAAAAAAAACCCAAGCAAGAATTTTTCTGGAACAGCTCTTTCAAGAATTCTAGTTTGGCTGGTCTGACTCCCAAGGGCCATTTGTGGTGAGATGATCTCTCCTAAGGGTGTTAGTTTCTGTCGAATCTCACATTAGGTCCAAGTTATTCATGGCACTAGTGAGTGTGTACTGTAGTGTAGCCACTGGGATCACAGCCAAGGACTAGATGGTGGAAGGGCAAACTAACATATATAGGTGTGTTCCAAAGGGGAAGAACACGTGCTCACATCAAAAGAATTATGCTACATATTATATATAATATAATGACATTTATACGATAAGCTGAATTTTCAAAGTTACACCAACAACAGATAACTCAAGTATACAGAGTCCAATTGTTACTAAAATCCCTGAGGCTGTGTAGCTTAGAAACAGAAATGAAAATGTCTGGGCCCATACAAAGAACCCCAGAAGCACTTGTCATGTGCTCGCCCAATATCGTTCAAACAGCACCGTTTCAGGATATCTGTTGACTTGGGAAGTGAGAGTGATTAGTTCCCTGCTGCCTCAGGGACTCTCCCTCCACATAGTCCCAGGGGACCCCAACTTGGAACACAGTATCAAGCTGAGCAGAAGAAAACTGGGTCACTCCCTGGTCCGTGAACCCAAATGAGGACTGGTTAGCAGGCAGGGCTGTCGAGCAGGCCGCTCCCTCTCTCTTCCCAGGCAGCTGGGCTCTTCCGGAATGCAGATACCCTGCTGCCTTCCTGCCAGACAGTGGAGAGTTGGGTTAGAAGGGGGAACATCTGGGGAGATTTCCGGTAGCAATCTCCGGAGCCTGAGAGAGATAATCAGGCTTCATAAATTGGGTTGACTAGACAGTAAAATATTTATTATGATTCCTCCTTTATTTTTTTTGAAGTTCAAAAATCCTTGTCATCCCCGGCTGAAGTCTGTGTCCACATGAGAGGAATTCATAATGAGATCGGAAGTAGGCTGCCACCACTTACTCACGACCTCCACCTGCAGCAGGCGGGAGGCAGTGATTGGATCTGCATATGTGCTCCATTTAATTGTTTTTTCCTAATAAAACAGAAAAATCCATGAAACAACAACAAAAAGCAATTTGAAAAAAAAAACCTAGCTCATGTGATGGTCTTTCATTCATTCTTGAGGTATAAAATATTTTCTTACATGGGTGAAAAACAGAGGCAAATAATTTAGATGTTTGAAAATAGACTTTCATATGCATAACGTTTAGTCTTAAAGATACCTATTATTATTATTTTAACCCTGAATCTCTACCAAAAACAAATGGTGAGTTGTGGAATTATTCAGATAATTGAGACCAAAATGCTGGCTTCTCTTTAAATATTTAGATAATGGAATAAAAACAGCTGCAGCTGACGTGTGTGATTAGTGACCATGTACTTTCTTTGGGACAGTGGGTGATGTCTTGGCTGTACCTTCAAACTAAGTTCCATGTCAGTGGAAAGCATTTGAGGTTTATTATAAAAGAGGGATTCAGATATCTGTCAAAGGTGGATAACTTTTTTTGTTTTTCTGAGACAGGGTCTTGCTCTATCGCCCAGGCTAGAATGCAATGGGATGATCACAACTCACAGCAGTCTCTACCTCCTGGTCTCAATTGATCCTCCTGCCTCAGCCTCCTGAGTAGCTGGGACTACAGGTGTGTGCCCTGTGCCATTATGACTGGAGAACTTTCTTTTTCTTTCTTTCTTTTTTTTGGGTAGAGTTGGGGGTGGTCTCACTATGTTGTTCAGGCTGGTCTTGAACTCCTGGGCTTCAGCAATCCTCCCACCTTGGCCTCTCAAAATGTTGGGATTACAGACATGAGCAACTGCACCCAGCCTCTTTTTCTTAAATGCTCATACTAGTTAATAATTTGGCATTTAAATGTTTCAGTCAATTGGTAATCAACATCGATTACAGAGAACAGCTTCTCCACCCGGGTATAAGATGACTGCTGCTTCAGGCTTTGCTGCCCATCTAGCCCAGCTCTGGCCATTCCCCACAGCATCCCATACTCCAGTGAAACCTCCTCGGCATTCCCAGTCTCATCCAGATGGCCCACTCCTCCGTGACTTCGCACCTGCTGTGTGCTTCAGACTTTGTTCTTTGGGTAACCTCCTGTATATCCCCTCATGGTGCTCCCTGCTACCATCCTCATCAGTTCTTCCATACCTTTCCAATCAACTCATCTTCGACCACACTCTATGCTGAGAAACGTATCTGCCCTTTGAGCTTCCATTTCATCCTATTTACATCTCTAAAATATAACTTATTTTCTTTTCCGACAGCCACAGATATGTCCTGAGTGCCTCTTCCATGGTACGTCCTGCTCACGTGGTGAGAATACAGCTCATGTGGTGAGAATACACCTCACATGGTGAGAATACAGGCACAGTTCCTTCCCCCCTGTGGGTCACATTCCAGGTGAGGAGAAAGGATAAACGTGCATGGGAAATGATGCCAGGTAGTGCCATGACAAAGAGACAACAGAGGTTTTCCTTGTTGGACTTTCCCTGTAGACTATGAACTCTTTGAAAGCAGAGACTGGTAAATCTAGCACAGAGTGGAGTGTTAGCATATACTACACATCAGTCAATGCTGAATGAATGAACAAATGAAAGGCATACTTGGTGAACTTCTTATGATGTTTCCAGCCCTTCCAGTACTGGAGGATATAAAAGAATTAAATAATACTTTTACTTATCATTATAGTTGGAAAGTTTCCTCAAAGAATATCTATGAGATATTTTCAAAGATAAAGAACTTTCCCGTTGACTACAAAACAATTTGTTCAGATAGCAGGTACAAGGCCATCACCTCTTCTGTCACTGATCATCATTCAGACAGATTACCCACAAGACACATAAAAAATGGTGGTTCTCACCTGAGGTCAGGAGTTTGAGACCAACCTGACCAATATGGCGAAACCCCGTCTCTACTAAAAGTACAAAAAATTAGCTGGGCGAGATGGTGGGTGCCTTTAATCCCAGCTACTTGGGAGGCTGAGGCAGGAGAATCATTTGAACCCAGGAGGCGGAGGTTGCAGTGATCTGAGATCATGCCATTGCACTCCAGTCTGGGCAACAAGAGCAAAACTTTGCCTCAAAAAAAAAAAAAAATTGGTGGTTCTCTATTCCAGGTTTTTATTTCTATTAATTTCTACGGCATGTGATCTTGAACAAACATTTATAGTCAATATTTGATAAAAAGTCCGATTCAATCAAATAAATAAAGCATTAGAAAAAATAATTTCATTCCTTTGCTAACCTAAATCCATTAAGACACCAGTACAACTGAAGACAAAGGATATTTAAAACAAAACAAAACAGTGAGACCCATTGCTCATTTGCATTTTAAAATTAATTGCTGCCCTAATTATTCGTCAATAGAAGCATAAATGAAGCAAATATAACTTAGAGTAAGCTTTCAGACACCCACAGGATTCTCCCCGCAAGAGTAAATTGTCATAATGGTTCTCTGTGACAATTTATTTTTGTTGTCTTTCCATGACTGAGGAAAGAGAAGATTGAAAACGGAGCCATACAGAAATGAAACCAGCTCAATGGAAAGAGATGGATACATGTAGCTACTTTTAGTTTTCACCTGTAAGATGTAAGAAGGAGGGTTGGGCATGGTAACTCACGCCTGTTATCCCAGCACTTTGGGAGCCCAAGGTAGGTGGATCATGAGGGCTGCAGTTCAAGATCAGCCTGGCTGACATGGTTAAAAACCCGTCTCTACTAAAAATACAAAAAATTAGCCTGGTGTGGTGGTGCAGGCGGAGGAATCACTTGAGCCCGGGAGGCGGAGGTTGCAGTGCGTGGAAAATGTGCCACTGCACTCCAGCCTGGGCAACAGAGCTAGATTTAGTCAGAGAAAAAAAAGAAAAATAGCTGATTGTAGTGCCATGCACGTGAAGTTCCAGCTACTCAGGAGGCTGAAGTGAGAGGATCTCTTGAGCCCAGGAGGTCCAGGCTGCAGTGAGCCAGGATTGCACCACTGCACCCCAGCTTGGATGAGAGCGAGAGAGAGCTTGTCTCTAAATAAAATATTTTTAAAAAAAGATGCAAGAAAGTAATAATCAGTAAGGAATGTTGGCACCAAGGAGCTGCCTTGGCAACCTTACTGAAGCTGCCCTTCCATTATTTGTAAGTGTGACTGACTCCATGACCCCAAAATGGAACCCAAAGCTGAAAAATGTAGCTCAGCATGGAGCTGTTACCTGTCTTGCTTTGTGTAGGTCTGACTGATTGACTTGAGTGTTTGCTCCATCTACTTTCCCTCTGTCTTAGTTTCAGCTGCTATAACAAACACTGTAGACTGGGGGGCTTAGACAATGATTTATTTCTCACAGTTCTGCAGGCCGAGAAGTCCAAGATCAAGATGCTGGCTGATCAAAGTTCCTGGTGAGGGCTTTCTTCCTGATTTGCAGATGAATGTCTTCTCTCTGTGTCCTCGCATGGCTGAGAGAGAGAGAGAGAGAGAGAGAGAGAGAGAGAGAGACAGAGAGAGAGAGAGAGACAGAGAGACAGAGATTGGGTTTCTTCCCCTTTTTATAAGGTCATTAATCTCATAGTGATAGTGGCACCTTCATGACCTCATCTGACACAAATCACCTCCCAAAGTCTCCACCTCCTGCTACTATCATATTGGGGGTTAAGGCTTCAACATATACAATTTGGGGGGACACAAGCATTTAATCCAAAGCACCCTCCCACCATGTCGACAGAGCTGTAGGAGGCATTTAGCACAGCTGGAAAAATTTCTCTGGCACATAATCAGGCATTCATTGTTGGTAATCTCTATCAAAAGCTTATGAAGCAACACAATGATGCTGAATAACAAATAATTCTAAATCTCAGTGATTTAAATTAACCATCGTCTATGCTCCTGCTTCCTGGGCTGCAGGTCAGCTGTGCCGTGGGTGATCTAAGTGGGCACAGGTAGGCGCCTCTCCTCCAGGTATGCTTCGCGGGTGCGTGGGTCAGTTGGAGCAACTCGGCTTCAAGCCACAGTTTGTGTTCAGGTCTGTTTCACCTGTCTCATTCTGCAAGGATCATCAGAGGGCATAGAGCTATCTGGTTTATAATCTTTTTAAGGTGCAAGTAGCAGCTCTCAAAGTGGTATGTGTAAACATGCAATACCTTAAGACCTAGGCTCCAAATTGACATATGGTCATTTCTGCCCACATTTCATTGGCCAAAGGGATCCCATAGTCAAGCTCAACATCAGTAGGGTGAAAAAGTAAACTCTTCCCATTGGAGGCCAGTATATTTCCATGTTGAGGTGCAGGAGGGGTACTGAATATTTGTTAAACAATAATTTGATCTATCATGACTATATTTAAAGAAAATCCTTTATTTTCTGATTTAGGCCTTCATACATGAATTATTTAAAATTGGCCCCCTTCCCCACTTTTTTTGGTTTTCTCCTGAGTTTGTTAGTTATGTTAGAGTAGCCAGAAAGATCTTCTCTCCTTAAGACAGATATGTGGAAGATTTAGGAACACTTGACTTTGGATGAACTTCTAGCAGGAACAGCCAGAGGTGGTCCAGTTGAGTCTTTGCCCTGCTGCTTGAGGAAGGGTACTGTGGGACATGGGTCTACAGGTCTTACTTGGGTTTTCGGCCATGCATTGAGCCACCCAGTACAGACCAGACAGCAGAATTCCGCCTCCGCAGATGTGTACCTGACATTCCTGCTCCGATTACAGCATCACCTATCCCCTGTCGCCAACTGGCAACCCACAGCAGAGGATGTTTTTCTGATCATTTTGCACTCATTAAACGCAGCTGTCACAACAGTGGATGCAAGGATGCATGCAAAACTTTTCTGCCACATCAAAATAAAGCTGAAACGCTTTTTAAAAAAAGAGCTGATGGCTTTGAAGCCTATTCTCAAGGAGTATTGGAAATATCGCCTTTTGTTGTTGACAATTGAAAGTATTCCGTAGCAACACAAATTAAACCTCTGTCCAGGCTAAAGAAGCATCATCCATCAAAATTTTGCAGCAGAAAGCATTTGACCCACCATTTGTGGGGCTCAAACATACTATGCCTGGGGGGTCTGAATGACTCATATTCATTGTCCAGGCTGATCCCTGCTCACAGTTCCAATAGGGAGGAGCAGTTCCCTGACTCTCAAAGGAACGTTATGAGAATGAGATAACCAGGCACCTACTACACCCCCTATTAGAGAATTAAAACAAGCAAATAGATTCTTAAGCTTCAACATGGACTCACTAGACTAGACTTTCTTGGTGGGAGTGGGGCCTTCCCTGATTCTGATGCAGTCATCGGAATCCATTTCAGCAACCCCCAGACCTGTATGGGAACCAGTAAGGACTAGACATTTCAGTACTGTACCTGTTGATGTAGCACCTCCTAAATTTTCCTGTTGCTTACTCAGTGTCAGTTTTATCTCTTGATCATTTGCAAGTTGACCCTGGCCTCTACTTCTCTGAGAAGCTCTCCATCAGCTCCCCCTGGGCTGTGTCATGGGACCACTGCCTGTGTCCTCTTCATACCCTTCGCCCACCTTGATCACAGTAGTTCTCACTCTGTCCCCATCATCTGCTCACACATCCCCACTAGACTGGAATTTTGAGAGTAAGGACTGTGTCCATCATCATATGTGTGTTTCTAACAGTATAACATAGGGCTTGACACAGAGAAGGCCCCCAGAAGGGTTGGTGACAGACAGGAAGGAAGGGGGGCAGGAGAACAATAGCATCTGACTGTTTCAAGGAGTAGGTGGGCCCAGCTTCCAGCCAGATGCTGCTTGTGCAGATACAGATTTTTTTAGTCTTTATAACCCGTTCTTCTTCTTCCCCAAGGGCTACATGACAATCTAGGCACAAAGGCAACAATTATTAAGTAATAAGAAAAGATAAGAAAATCCCACTCATCTCCTGGGTGGCCGTATCAGTCAGGGTCCAGGCAGGGAAACTCACCTCACTAGATATTTCCTACCTCGCCTCCGCCTACATTTCCCTTTGACAAAGCTGAATGGGAGGCCAGGGGAGTGGGGCACCTGTGCCATGACAGCCAAGTGGTCGAGCAGTTTGGACTCCTTCAGTTCCCTCTCTCATCACAAGATGGGACACACATTTCAATAACCCACAGCCAGCTGCACAAGCTATGGTGTGTGATGATTACACACCCTCACTCTGCGTTCTTGCAATATGTGATGACATTGCAGGTTACTTCAGGAATACGTGTAAGAAATTGAGATGCTGCCTCTTCCGTGATGTCACACTGGAGAGAAAAATCCAGACTGGACAGAAATGGTGGATTGAAAGGAATTGTGGATGAACACCTAGAATCCTCTGGTATTCCGATTACTGCACACATACATGCTGGGCAGTGACTGGAGAGCTGAGAAGAGAGGAAAAGGAAAAGGCTGAGGGTACAAGAGCTCTGAGCTTGGTGAGTTTTAGTGTCTTAAGTGAACCCATCAAGGAGAAGGAGCCTATTGCTTGCACAAGGCTCCACCACCTCCTGGATAGCAAAGAATTGATTTACTGGGTGCTTTTTCTATATATATGCCTACTGTGGTTAGATTGTATTGGTAATTCAAATATATTAGATGTATTATATTAACTTTTATCAACAAATCAAGAATCGCTGACTGTATTTCTGTCATGTGCAAGATACCTTGACCAGGGATGCCACTCTCCCCACTTGCTGCATAGCTAGCACTTTCTCTTCCTTCTGTGGGATGACCTCCAACATCCCCTCCAGAGGCTATCCTGAAGCATCTCATTGGAAGTCGGTCTCTTCTTCTCTACCATTTCTTACCTGAGGCCCTTGTCCCTACCTAACCATAATGATAATCGACAATCCGTTCATTTATCTGCTATTTGTTGGCCATCTCTAGAAGGGCAGGACCAGCATCAATATCCTTGATGCTTGGTGCAGTGTCTGGCATGTAAGTGAAGTAAAATGTGTAGGATGACTAGATACACACAAAGCATAATATGAAATTAAATCAGATCCCTTCCTTTTTCTTAAAACTTGACAATATTGGGAAGAGCCATGTATACAGATAAGTAACAAAAAGAAGCATGGCAACATAATTCCTTTTAAAAATGATGCAACTCATAGAAAGAGCTGCAGGTGATCTTGGTGCATGTACAGGTGGGTACCATGGTTTTCCAGATGAGTAGAAAAAGCAGGGAATAGGTTTGTGGTAGAAGTAGGAGCACAGCCTCATGAACAACGTTCTTCCCATTCACTGTTCTTTGGCCTCCAGGTAGGATATGTGAGTGAGTGATGAGTGATATGTGTGTGTGTGTGTGTGTGTGTGTGTGTGTGTGTGTGTGTCTAGCCGCAGCCTGAATTGGCACATGGAGAGCTACCGTACTTGAGATGTGTTGCACTGGATTTCTTCGGGTCTTTGTTTTTGTTTTTGTTTTTGTTTTTGTTTTGAGGCAGAGTCTTGCACTTTCACCCAGGCTGGAGTGCAATGGTGCGATCTCGGTTCGCTGCAACCTCCGCCTTCCCAGTTCATGCCATTCACCTGCCTCAGCTTCCCTAGTGCCTGGGATTACAGGCATGTGCCACCAGATCCCGCTAATTTCTGTGTTTCTAGTTGAGACGGGGTTTTAATTTTACCATGTTGGCCAGGCTGGTCTTGAACTCCTGGCTTTAAGTGATCCACCTGCCTTGGCCTCCCAAAATGCTGGGATTGCAGGCATGAGCCACCATGTCTGATGGAGACTGTCTTTCCCTTGGTATTCTTTGGGTCTCTATCCCTCCCCACTGTCAAGCTGATGGCCGTGTCCCTCCATGCCAGCAACGTGTGTGCCTCTGTCATTCTCAAGGGTAATAGCAGCTTACACCCATCTCATAGGTAGCGTAGACAGTTGTTTATATTATTCATGCCTCTTTTAAAAGTAACATATGTATACCTTTTATTTTAATAAAAAAGAATTCATAATTCAATATAATTGGAAACACTTCTGAATATTTCCTGAAGACTCTTAAGGATTATTCAGGCTGCATGGTGTGGGGAAAAACCAAGGCTGGCTCTTAGAGGGTTAAAAACACCTGTCTGGAAGGGGACCCTGAAGATCGCAGCTCATCTCAGGGAACTTGCCCTGAGCATTAAGGCAGGAAGCCACCTAGAACGGTAAGGATCACCCCGAACTCGGGAGGCTTTAGAATTTATTTTTTCATTAATGAATGCTTCAGAAAGTGCACTGTCCCTAATTCCCTTCTTTGAAAGATGGAAACTTTAATGTGCAGTTAATTAAATGTTGTGTTGATTTGCAAGCCCTGAGCTCTCAGAGGCCTTGGGGAGGTGGAGGCAGGTTTAGAAATCAAACAACGGGTGGGACTGGCTGTCCCAGCTCTGACCACAGTGCAGGCGGCACTGTTTGCTGCAGATGCCCAGGAGGCGTCCAAGGCGCCCCTGTGGCCGGACCCGCGGTTCTGAGCCTTGGTGATTCGTGAACAGCTCTGTTTACCATTGAGAGGAGCAGAGCCCAGGCAACAGGTCCAGGCCCCGGCAGGGAGGAGGCTGGCCTGAGCCTACATCTCTCTCCTGGCTGCCTGGCTTTCAGAAGCATTCTTTAAACAGTTTTTTTTTCCTAGTGCTTCAGCAGGTCTTTGTGCTGAGAGGAGCTGTGTCATGCTGGAATTCTTTTCACAACAAACTAAAGAACCCAGCTGTGGCGCTGGATGCAGCCTGAGAACCTGCAGGCTTTCTGTATGCAGTTATTTACCAAGGGGAGCAGTGAAGCTGCTGAGGTGGGTTTACTTGTGCAAATCCTCAGTAGGCTTTGCAATGCTGGCAGGGCCAGGGTGGGGGACTGTGGGCATCCACCCCCTAGTTGGGGTGGGGTGGGGCGGGGCTGGATGGAAATGCAAAGGCACTTAGAGATCGCAGAGTGCAAAAGGGCCGCAGAGCTTATCTTCCCTCTCTCCCATTTTATAGATGAGGAAATGTAGTCAAGAAATCGAGTAGTGTGATTTTGCAAGAAAAAGTGTGGATTGCTCCAAATAACTAGCGCCTGTTAGCAGTGACAAGTTTATCATCCATTTGGCCCTGGCTAAAGGCACAACTTATGCAGTTACCAAATGACAACTTGCAGGGTTATTGCTACCAGAGCATACTTCCTTCATCCCTGCTCATGGAAAGAACAAAGCATCAGTACCTAATGAAAATACGCTTGCTTATTGTTTTGGCATGGGAATCCCTTTCTTGTAACTCTTCTGCGTGGTCAGCTTGTTTACGATGCCCCAAGGAGTTGGTGAAGATCTGAGGATTGGCTTTGGAGGGTCCTGGCAGTGCTACTATATTCTTATTATGAATAAAAATTTTAAACCCAAGCTGATAAACATATTTTTTTTTCACACTGAATTCATCAGGAATACATTAACATTTTCTAAAAGGTAAAGACAGAAAAAATGAAAGAATTGAAAGGAGAACATTAGGATGTATTTGGCCACTAGGATTTCTGTTTCCATCAGCTCCTGTGCATGAGCCAGAACTTTACCCCATCTAACTAATGCGCAGGGAATTAGCCTATGGAATAATGATGATTCCTGATGAACAGAATAAGAGCTTGTTCCCGTGTATTCACAGAGCCATTCATCCTAAGAAAGAAATCTGGAGTGAAAGCGCACAGCATATTTTGCATAGGTTCTGTAAAAGGATCCAGGCAAAACAGGCTTTGCAACATTAGTTATGATCATATATGGAAAAAGCAGTTACTTTCTGGGGTGACATATGGCTGAATTGGTACAATGCCTGGGAATCTCAATGTCCCCCTTAGAAGGGTGAGCCCTGGCTTCATCCTTCACCCACATCGTCAGCGGGACAAACTGCACAGGCAGCACGGGGACAGATCACCGGTAAAGAAAATCACATCCACCTGTGCTGAGACCAAAGCTGCTGCGGGGCTCTGGCAGTTGGCAAGTGCCAACGTCCCCTTCTGTGATCAAAACTTTTTCTAAAGCAGAAAAATTGTGAATGGAGCCCAAGCCTGTCTGCTTAAGATTCAGGCATGGTGATATTCCGTAGTAAACAACAACAGCGACAATGCTGACAAAAACACAACACATTTATTGTAAGGGCCATTCCACCCTTAGATGTTGAAAATGTAACCTTGCCCTGATACTATTCTGTTACCGGTAAACCTGTTTCCAACATAACTAACACAGCCAAGCCAATAAATTGAGACTTCTTGTGGAAGAGATGGGGAATGTGATCACTTGAATGTGTGATATTCATTCATCCACTCATTCATTTTGCTGACCATTTACTAGTTAGATTAACTCTCCTGAGTACAGCTCTATGTTAAGCACTGAGGACTCGAGATGATTCTTATCTTCAAGTCATCCACTCTGGGGATAAAAAAAGATGTACAAGTAAGCTGCAGAGGGACACGTGCTTTCATTATGGGGACACCTGGAAGAGAATGAGAAACTTCTTGCAGTTGGCCTTGGGAAGCTAGGAAGGACTTGAAACTTGTAAGTGGTCCTGGGAGCCACTGGAGGTGGGAGGGGCCAGGGCCCTTAGGCCCGGATCTGTCTGCCTGCCTGCCTGCGTGCCTGCCTGCCTGCCTTACTGAGGATCGGGGCTGGGCTACTGCCTTACTGTCTGCAAATGATGGAGCCCTTCCAGTTTCAGCTTCCTCACAAGTAAAATGCAGACAGCAATGCCTCCTTCCAGTGACATCATGAGGATTCAACGGGAATTTTTATGAAAGCGCTTAGCAGGGTTTTTGGTGAGTGCTCAGAAGGTGACAGTTTGGTGAAGCCAGGGCTCACCCTTCTAAGGGGAACGGAAGCCTGGGCTGAGAACAGGGGCCGAGAGAGTCACAAATGGTTTTCAGCTGTGGGAAGGCCCTGCTAGATTTACTTTTTACAAAGAACACTTTGGGACATCTTGGTGTATGGATTAGAAGAAAGGTCAGAAACTAGTGAGCTGTGGGCCGCATGTTTAGCAGGGGGGATACTGAGGCAGTGCACAGACGCAGTTGCCAGGGTGGCCTGGAGCTGGGGAGAAGGAGAGGAGTGGATTGGAGATGTGTTTGGAAAGTATTAAAAGGACAGGCAGGGGTAAGGGGAGAGAATAAGAGCGAGAGAAGAAGCCAGGTGTTGATGAGGAGGTGATGGCAATGGCAGTGCCTGAGAAGAGCAATAAAGCCAGGAGCCGGTGGTGGGAAGAGGGAGTGGCTTCTTTCAGAAGAGGAGCCGCCTCCCCAGCAGTAAGCAAATGCATTAGGAATGTTCCTCCTCCCAATCCAGAGAGGGACTGCTGAGATGATTCCTGCCTCCCGACTCCCGCCTCCCGACACCCGCTGTTCTCTAGATCCGTTCTGCAGCGCTTTTCCTGTGCCATGTGCCCAGATCTGAGCGAGCCTTGGGAAGATGCGAACGGGCTGCAAAATCTGTCCCCAGAACAGGAGATTAAGAATGCTCACTGCGGGGCTGAGCTGAGTCAGGGAGTGCTAGAGTTTAGCAGTCTCGCTGTGTCGTGCCTGGGCATTTCAGACTGAGCCACCGCTGGGCCTGCCTGTTCCGAAAGGTGGCTGAGGAAGGGAGCCAGAAACGCCGCTGCAGGGCCGGCTGCGGCAGTGGCAGGAAGCAGGCAGATGCTCTCTGGCCACTTCTCTCCCCTGGAGGCCCTCCTCCCTCTGCTTCCAGCCCCACTGCTGTGGGACAGTTGCATCCTAGGGCTCTCTGTGGCTCCCCCATCTGTGCCCTGGGGCAAGCATATGCGACCCGTCCTCGTTCTCCGTCTAGGACAGTCAGGCATTCATCAGTACTTGGTGTGCACCTCCCAGTACCAAGCTCCGTCCTGGTCACAGGAGAGCACTCATATCCATACAGGTGTGGGCCCTGCCTTCACTGTGATTTGGGCCGGAGAGGAGCTCACTACCTGATCCTTTCCCCCAGCTGTGGCTTAAGGGGTTTCTTCTCTTGCCAGAGCCCTTCCAGGCAGGCAGCAGGTCCTGGCTTGTAAACAAGGCGCTCCTCCTCCATTTCGGAGCCTCGGCTGCCCTGCCTCTTGGTGATCTGGTATTCTGGTAGTGCCTCTCCGGGCCCTGGCTTAAAAGGCTGAGAGCAGCTGTGTTCTGGAGATCAGCTCCAGGTTCTCCTGCAGAGAGCGGGCTCCAGGGACAGGCAAAGGGCGTGGCTTCAGAGAAGAGCGAGGATCTTGCCATGTCTTTTACAGGTTGGTGCAGACTTTTTAGCAGTGTTAAACCCCTGATCGCTGCCATCAGTGGTGTGATTTTAGCAGATGCTCCCTCAGTACTTTACAATCAACCTGCACTGAGCACTTTGTGCAGGGGTGGGGCCTGGTCTGGGGGCTGTCAAGTGCTTTATCTTATATAGGCCTTACCCCTAGATCCTGGAAAGGCAGAGCGAATTTGGAACATCTGTGCTATAAGCATGGAAAACTGGGACTCAGACCAAAAGTGTAGTTCCTGGTTGCA